GTTATTTTCTATCATCCAAGTAGTAGTATTATTAGTATTAGTAATCGCAGTAGTATTAATATTAATAGTAGCAGTAGGAAACTTTTTCATATAATTAATGTGCTTTTGTATGAACTTTGAATTTTCTATAAAAATCGCAAATTTAAAGATGGTGGAAAGGAGGTTTTATTGGTGATTAAAAATAATAAAAATGTAACGCTATTATTTATTATATGGGGACCAAACAATGGACACTAATAATAGTAATGGTGGTGAAAGTATATAATTATATTGATATATATATATATAATGATGATAATGTAAGAATTCTCTGAACAGATAATAAATATTTATTTATATTATTTATTTTATTATCTTCTAATAAATTCTTTGATTTTTAGTCTTTTGCATCGGAATACTCGACAATTATGTCATGTTTCATAATTGTGAACTGTCATTTTTGCAATTTCATAATTAAAATACTAAAATAGAATTTCCAAGACATTAAATACCAATCACATTTTATTTATATTTTTATGGGAATTATCAATGCCTGTCTCATAAGTACGTAATTTGAAAATCTTTTTTTCGAAAATCAATAATGTCAACGATCGGATCTTTTAAACAAATAATGATAAATAAAGCAAGCAGTAAAAAAGCATAATAATTTTATTTAATAACCAAAAAAGGCTTGGATCATAAAAATAAACATTAAAAAATGGGTTTTTTTTTATTATCAAAGACGCAAAATTATTTAACAAAGAAGGAAAAAAAATAAATACATATTTTATCAAAAATCACTACCACCATTATGATGGTTATTTCTTGATTATTGATTTATATTGTATTGCCCAATGTTTTTTGATTTTCATGATGAGTTTCAAGACTGTTTTTTGTAATCAATTCGAAGACTGTTGACCCAAAAGCTTCATTAAAAATTATTCTTGATCTAGTTTTGTCATAAAATGTATTCTGTTCATCAACTTCCTCTCCATCATAGTCATCATCATCTCATAAAAATAAACATTAAAAAATGGGTTTTTTTTTATTATCAAAGACGCAAAATTATTTAACAAAGAAGGAAAAAAAATAAATACATATTTTATCAAAAATCACTACCACCATTATGATGGTTATTTCTTGATTATTGATTTATATTGTATTGCCCAATGTTTTTTGATTTTCATGATGAGTTTCAAGACTGTTTTTTGTAATCAATTCGAAGACTGTTGACCCAAAAGCTTCATTAAAAATTATTCTTGATCTAGTTTTGTCATAAAATGTATTCTGTTCATCAACTTCCTCTCCATCATAGTCATCATCATCATTCACATCATCAATAATTTCCAAATAATCACAATCACAATCACCACCATCATCACCAACATCATCATCATCACCAACATCATCATCATCACCATCACCAACATCACCAACATCACCATCATCATCATCACCACCACCATCATCAGTAATTACTAAATCATTATTTGTTGATTCTTTTGATTCACTGCATCCATCATTATTAATAGTTTCTTCTCTTTTAACGTCGTCGTCATCACTATTATTCCCATTTTCCACAACACCGTTTCCTTCTATTTGCACATAAATAAAATCACCTCCTCTTTCACATTCACAATAATCATAACAATCACAATCACCGACACCATTATCTGACATTGACTTATTTTTTTTTGCTTTATACATTGCAGTTAATCTATTATTAATGAATAGTGGTGCATACAATTCAGAACTTAATATTGAAGATTGTTTACTATCAGGATAATATTGTTCATCATTATAATAATTAATATAATCAAGATTATGTTGTGGATGATAATAATGATAATTTTCGAATAATGAACTTGTAAAAGAAGATTTATTTTTTAAAAGTGGATTTGGACTTGCTAACATACTATTACTAAGATTAGTTTTTGAGCCATTATGATGATAAAGAAAAGTTGAAGAAGTTGAGTGCATTGAAGAGCAATCTTTAGTTGGTGTTAAAGGTATTGTCGGGCTATCTAACCAACTTTTAATGTAACTCTGATTACTATTAAGACTACTATTACTATATTTATTATGATTAATAGCATTATAATTATTACTATTGTTATTATAATGATTAATAATAATAGTATTACTATTGATACTACTATGTTGATTATAGATTTCACTTAAATAATTCCCTTCATCGTCAATTATTATTGAATTTTCATTTATAATAATTTCATCAACACCACTAACACCACTCGTATCACTTTTTCTATAATAATAATTATTAAATCCTCGATTTAATGACAAGTGTGATAAATTTGCTCCTGAACTCATTGTGTTAAATCCTAGACCATACATGTATCTTTTATAACTATCACTGTTATTTGGTAATTTTCTAAATGATGACAAAGGTGGAGGTGGTATATGTAATATTGGTGGAGGTGGTATAGGTATTGAAGGTGGTGGTATTGAAGGTGGTGGTATTGAAGGTGGTATAGGTATTGAAGGTGGTGGTATCGAAGGTGGTGGTATCGAAGGTGGTGGTATCGAAGGTGGTGGTATCGAAGGTGGTGGTATCGAAGGTGGTGGTGTTGGAGGTGGTGGTATTTGTTTCCTTTTTGTCCCCCTAATCGGCATTGGTTGTGAAGATGTTATTGATGATTCTGTTGTTGTTAATGTCGTATTATTAACATTCTCATCGTAATTAGCAACAGTGGTAACATTAGTATTGGTGGCAACTGGAGAAGGTGGTAAAGGTTTCGACGACGACATAGATGATATAAATTTTTTAGATGCTAATGTTAATGATGATAGTGACGATAACGATGATGTTTTTTTTGCGGGTTTTGATTTTGATTTTGGAGATGGTGTTGGTGGTAGTGGTTTAATTTCTGGGGTAACAATATCATCGATGATATTATTAACATTACGATTATTATTATTAGTTGTCTGAGGAGGATTAACCGTTCTTAAAGGTGATGTGATATTGTTAATATATTGTTGTTGTGATGGTGGTGATGGTGATGGTGTTGATGATGATACTGATTTGTTGAGCTTTTTGATTTTTTCTTTATAACGATTGTAACGATGATTATTCGCATCAACACTTATCCTGCTCATCCTACTTTTTTCTACAACACCATCATTATTATTATCAATGTCAATATTATCATTATCAAAATTTCTGTTGTTGTCGCTGTTTGTTATTTTATCATTATCCAAATCTCTGTTGTTTATGATGTTTGTACTTTTATCATTATCAAAATCTCTGTTATTGACGACGTTTGTTCTTTTATCATTATCACGTTTTTTAATTCTTGTCACGCTCAAATATATACAAAGTCCTAAACCTACAAAAAATAAAACTATTAAAACTATTACGATTATTACGATTCTTGTCGTTCTATTTTCTGTGCCATCTCCATCATCATTTGTGTTATCAACCTTTTCACATTGTGAATTGTCACTAACACAAAGATCTTGTCTTTTTTCAATTAGATTTGATAATAAGATTGATTTTTGATTTTTTGATTTCGATGATGAAATTTTGTTGTTTATTGTTAATAAATAAGAAGGTATTTTTTCTGTTATGTATAAGAAAAGTTTTTTTTTTTGTCATTATTATTATTATTATTATTATCAAGCATAAAATTTAATTAATTGATTTTATCTTTCGTTACCTTTAAATTCATCGGTATTGTTGTTATTATTATCGCTTATTGGATAAGCATTTATGGTATTAATATTAATAATAATAGTAAGAAAGAAAAAAATTATAAATATTATGAAACCATCAACGGCCGTCAAGGCTTGTAAATTATTTTTTTTAAAAACTGTCATTTTCTTTTTCACAAAATAATATTTATAATTTTTACTCGTTGAATTTTTTATTTTTGCTTTTTTTATTTTAATTAGTAACGATGATGAAATTAATGATAAAGAAGAAAGATGAAAGTAAATTTGGTAATGGCGATATATAATGATAGATAATATAGGGGTATGGTTTGTTGGTGAATGTATTTTATGGATTCCATCCGAAATAAATCATTCAGAATGAAACGAGGCGAGAAGGAAAGAGAATTTTAAAAGAAAAAAATTGAAAAAAAAAATAAAATAGAAAAAAAAAGACTAAGACTAGATTCGTTTAATATCATATATTTATATAAATAATTATTAAAGCACATTATTATATAATCATAATAATTAATATAATTAAAATTAATACTTTTATTTGACTCTATCATAGGCGCGCTAACCTTGATTTCTATGATGGAATTTTTTAATTTATAATAATCGAAAATAGAAAAAAATATCCGAATTTACATTCACCAGTGTAGATTGTGTATATATAACTTTATGTTAAAAATGTGCGTGTATGTAAGGTACGTATATCGTTGTCTCTTTGTTTCATTATATAGATAGAATTATTTATTTTTACAAAGAGTCCGGAACTTGAATAGTTAGAAATTATTGGAATTTTATTTAATTATTGCTAAATTTGGTTTAGATTCAAAATTGGGTTTATATAATAAATCTAATTAATTTAATTTAATTTTGAAATTATTATTAGATTATTTAAAATTACAAGAATATATATATTCAATTACTTAATTATGCACACTCGAAATAATAATTTATATAAATAGTACAATGAAAAAACATATTTACAATTGAAAAATGAAAAACTTAGATTAAAAGAAAGTGAAAACAAAAATTATTGCTATTAAAATAAAAGAGTAAAATAAATAAACAAATAAACAAATGGAATTATTTTTTCTTTTCAAAAAAAAAATATTTTGATGTTAGGGGATGACAAGTATTTGGTTATTCTTGGTGAATGAATCGATAAATGAATAAATAAATATGTACGTGAATGATTGTTCAACTAAATATAAATATATATAAAAATACTAATAAATAAATTTTCTCTGAAGTTGGAGCTGACCTGGATTAGTTCAGGTATTAGCTCTGATAGAGATGATTCAGATCACCATCATTTCTGCCTATCATGTCGATTCGATGGTATCATTTGTTATTATTTTCATTATGAATTATCATTACCATTATTACTATGATTGTTATTGATATTAATATTAATATGATTATTGTCATTGCTACCAATGCTACTAACAGCATTAAGACAATCATTATTATTAATCGTATTGTTATTGTATTCTCTCCCAGAATCAACACCTCCTCCTCCTCCTTTTATACGAAGTGATGAAGAATTTGAGTTGACTGTCATTGTCCTAGCAATCGTGTTTATTATTATGGATCCTGACGATGTTGTATTAGCTCCATAAGCTGCGGCTACTTCAGGTAATGAGATGATCGAATGTCCTTTTGAAAATGTTGATGTGCTCATATTTTGATTACGATCGTGATTATGATTATGATGATTATGACTTGCTGTGTGATCGATCATATCAAATTCAATCTGTGAACTTGGAATACGTGATTTTGGTCGACAACAAAAAAATATTTTTTGTAATATTGTAGTCCAAAGAATTCGATATTGTTCATTAGCAAATTTTCCGGTACCAAAACATAATAAGAACAATCCATTTGATAATACCATGTGCAAGGTGAATCCATAAATTGCCAAGAAATCAGTTTGACCAGGCGAAAGATAAAATGATAAATCGGTGTTGGTCGGATCTGTTAGGTTTTTTATGTTTCGGTATAGCACAATCACCGATGTCGGTATTCCCAACAGAATCAATAAACTGCACCATAATCCCATCCGTATAAGAACATTACGCGGTAGAAGATATTTGTGATTTGCTGATGTTGATGAATTTGGTGGTGGACCTGCTCTTGTGGTAATGGTGGTGTTTGGTTTTGTTGATTCTTTGGATATCGAACATGGTCCAGTCATACTAAATTGCAATTTACGATTTTTAAACACAACCTTGGCCACCGGTATTAATGATAATACCGACAATACACACGATGGAAAGATTGCTAGGTATTCGGTCAATGTCCTTAAGAAAAATAATGCAAGTAAATTTTTACCATGTCTTGACACTTCACATATTCCACCCGCATCAATTGTCTCGAATACGTTATCATCATACGCCAACAACACTATAATACTTAGTATTATAGACAGTAATGGTAATATATATGCCAGTACAAAATTTAACCTTTGTATCAACGGTTCTTTACGTGCGGCTGGATTGGTGACTCGTAATGATACGTAAAGTTCAACGGACAGAGCCAATGCCATCCCATAATTTGCCACTGAACTGATGGAAAATAATATACCGCTTATTCCGCACCACGTATATTCTGATTTGGTTGCATCTTCTATTTTAAATTTTGTTGGTAGGAATATTCCAGCCAATACAAAAGACAAACTTAACAACGAATTTGTTACGCTGTATATTACAAGCACTGAACCTTGTCGTTTCACTTGTACGTAAATATTTTGAAAACATAATATACAAATTATTATGCACGTTATAGTTAACCAATCTTCCATGTTTAAAAAATATATATATTGTGTATTGATATATTCCGTTCGTGAAAAAAAAGCTTTATAAAAAAAAAAAAGGTTGAAAATATTTGTTTTTCAATCAAGAAGACAAATCGTTTAATTTACTCCACCAAAATTAATAATAATCAAAGAAATCATACATTCGTTGTTGGCGAGGAAGAAGAGGAGGAAGAGGAAGAGAAAGTTTTTGTGAAAAATTTATTGATGATCTCTATCTCGGAAATCTTTATTACTATTATTGATTTATATATATATGTAGATATTAATTATCAAAATGAATGAATTAAATAGTAAAAATTAAAAAGAAAAGAAAAAAGGGGTTTTTTAAACTTATCTAAAAAAATATAATGTGATTGATTATATATATATAGGTTACGATGAATATTCCTTATCTCTATCCAAAATAAATAAACATTCTAAATATTTGTTTATTTTTTACCGATCAATTTTTTGAAAAGATAAGATAACTCCAACCACTCATAAAATTTTGCAAATTTCCTTTTTTATCATCATCATATTTATTAATTTAAATTTTAACAAATAAAGAAATTTTTTTAGATATCATAGAAAGCCTTTTTTTTAGAACCAAAAATAACAACATTAAGATATCATCGTCATCAAGATTTGGCTTCATCATCATTATTATTAAAGATATATTTGTTGGGATGGATGGATGGCTGGTTGGATGGTGGTTGGTTGATGGTCCTGGAAAAACCTTATCAAATGAAGAAAAATTTACTCGGTAATTTCCATCCAAATGTGCATTCATTTTTGATCCCAAAAAGAATCAATGAATGAATGATCCTTTCTTTACATGTGTTCATCTTTATCATTCCAAATAAGGATATTAATGTGACATTGTTTTATATGTTGTGTAAACGGTCGCGTGACACTTCGATTTCATTTACAGCAGACAAGGCTTAGATTCACAACTCTGGTCAGACCAAAAACCCCGCGTTTCTGTTACAGCAAAAAGCCATCGGCGACACAAAGGCGTGGGAGTTTTAAAGTTTATCACGTTACATATTTCAGCCAATAAATTTTAAAGAAACCAAGTGTTTCAGCCAATAAAATTTAAGAAAATATCACGTGAAAATTTAGACCCTTATTTTTGATAAGAAAAGTTAAAAAAATTATTTAAAGAAATAACTCGTTGCAATTTATCTTTTTGATCGACCGCCCATGAGGAGTAGATACCATTTTGTTTGTTAAGCAATAATAGTTAGTTGATGGTTGGTTACTAGATAGCAGATCATTTTTTTGAAAATAAAAAAAATATAGCAAAAGCTTTACACTTTAGCTTGCTTTACAAATTTGATTAGAAGATTAAGTACACACCTTGGGACCATAGTGAAATTTCAAGAATTTTGGTGACTATAGTGTTTGTTACTATACAGGACATGTTTTTACTATGATTAATTAGTAGTAGCAGGGAATTTTTCAAATTAACAAAAAAATGTGACTATACTATGTTGTGATTATATAGGATGTGACTATATAGGAGTCTGACTGTAATGTTAAAAAATGCAAAATTCCTAAGATAATTTTTACACCAGATTTCTTGTTACCAAGTAATAAATGGCCAATACAGTCAGGATTATTACCAAATATGGAATTTCCAAATACTGTAAGGATAGACAATCTAGAAATCTTTTAGAAAAAAACAAAACAAAAATGATTGGCTAATTTTATGCAGATCTTTTCTTTGAAAAAAATAGATAAATAAAATAAATTAAAAATAATGCTTTTTTATGAAGAAAACGTGGCGAAGGCTTTATTAAATGGTCATATAACCTCCAAAATTTTATGTATTACGTTTATTTTTAACTGCTTTACAAATCTATCAAAAAATAATCAATAGCTTCAAATTATAATCATAAAATTACCATAAA